CTGATTGCTGGGATTACAGACGTGTCCACTCCTGGCTAAGCTTTTTTTTTTTTTTAAGAATAAGTTATAAAAATCTTTTAAATTATGGTTGATTTAGAACACATACAAGGTAAATAAAACAGTAGCCCCTCATGAACCCCCCCATGGGCTTCAGCAGTTCTCAGCGCACAGCTGTTTCTCCTCTAGAAGGAGTTTGTGAGTGTAGGGAGAGGCAGAGTGGTTCTTAGATTATGCACCCGCCCCAAGAGAAGCATTCAATATTAACTAAACTATAATTAAAATTCTTTTCTACTTTCACAGTGTACATTTAGGGAAAAACAGTTAAAGTATCTGAAAGGACTTAAAAATTTCTCATTAAAATATCAGTGAAGGCAAATACTAATCATTTTGAATACCTTATCTGATACTCAGTGTATATTTTCCCTTTTTCTTTTTCTACTTCTTTTAGCTAACTGATCCACTAATCCACTAGCTCTATTTTCTTAGGAATTTTAGACTTTATTCTTGATTTACACTTTAATAATAGGTATACATTCCATTCCAGTGTACTGAAAGGCAGGTTTTCATCCATTGTGAAGTAGTAGTGTTTGATTTTTGAATAACATTTTATTTGTAGTTTAAAAAGTAGCATGTATTCATTATAGAAAAATTTTAGAATCTATATAGGAAAGCACAAAGATTAAGAAATGTGTAATCTTGACCAGAGAATAATCAACATTAGTGATTTTCTCATTTATGTGCCCTGCCTTTTTAATGTAATACAATAAAACAACCATTTATTCATTTATATGAGTGTTATATTTTGTCACGATTACACTGTAAATTGCATACACTGGAAAAAAATTTTAAAAATTGCACACATTGGAGTTCGTGATTACATAGTTGGGATGATAGGTGTGCAGCATCTCTTCCAGTTTGTTTCTTTTTTAAAAAAGATATTTATTTATTTATTTTATTTGAGACAGGGTCTTACTACACAGCTCAGACTCATGTCTCATCCTCCCCAGTGCTGGGATTACAGGCATGCACCACCACACCTGCTTGTGGGGCTGGCACGGCGTACAGTACTGGGGATCAAACTCAGGACCGTTTGCTTGTCAGGCAGGCACTTATGCTGTTGAGCTATCTCCCCAGCCCTAAGTTTATTTATTTTTAATATTTATTGATTTATTTTGTGTGTGTGTGGCCAGCTCAACCCACCTGGGGGCGGGGCTGGCTGGCATGTGGTGCTGGGGGATTGAACCGCGGCTCCTGTGCTTTGCTTAGCTTAGCTTGTTCTAAGTAGGTGCTTTAGACCACTGAGCCATCTCACCAGCCCCAAGTTTATTTTTGTAACAATAATTTTCTCACATTTTTTTCCTTTTTTTTTTTTTTTTTGTTGTTTTGAGACAGGGTCTTGCTATGTAGTTCCTTTTTTTATAAAATTGTTTCTACATGAACTTTTACCAATTTCTGTTTTTATGATTTTTTTTTTTTTTTTTGGTGGTACTGGGGATTGAGCTCTGGACCTCACCCTAGCCCCTTGTTTTTATAATTTAATTGTAAATGTTTAGTGTTTAACTTTGAGTTTTTCCATCTACTGCAAAATATGATTTTCATTTGAATAATTCCATGTTTTCAAAGTGTTATTTTTATTGATGCATGAAATAATCTGTCTTTATAGGGCATCATGTTTTGATACATGCATACATTATATGATGTTCAAATCAAGGTAAATCTGACTCAAACATTTTCTGGGGGAGATGAAAGCATTTTCTTAAAATGTACAGTATAATATTTTCACCTGCAGTCACCCCCATGGGCAGTAGAACTTTAGAACTTATTTCTTCTATCCCTGCATTTTAATGCTCTTTCCAGGATAAATAATTATATACCCAGTTATATCCCGACCTGCAGTTTAAAGATGACATGCACAGCGTTCCCTGGAAGGTCAAAGTGCTGTTACTTTTGATGCTAGAAATTGACTGTTGGGTCTCATGTCTGTCCAGTCTTTCTGTTCTGTGCCTGCCTGGTAATTTCCAGGCTTTTTAAGGGTTATTTCCAACGCTTAATACTACTGAGTAGTGTTTAAGCAAAATCTCTTGTGAGTAGTTAGAGATGATTTAAGATATTTGAGAAGGTACAGCTCGAGAAATGACTGGATGGCATGATACATTTTCCTAGAAGTGGGGAATTTTATGAGAAAGAAGGGATGATCAACTTTGGACTGCTGCTGAGACGTAGAATTATTTAGAAGCAAAGAAATTGATTTTGGGCTGGGGAGATGGCTCAGTAGAATAAGCGCATGCCTGGCAAGTGCAAGGGCCTGAGTTCAATCCCCGGTTCTGGAAAAAAAAAAAAAAGAGAGAGAGAGAGAAAGAAAGAAAAAAGAAATTGATTTTGTCAGTAAGGCTGACCCTAGGAATCCTCACACGTGCGGCTCCCAGGGGTGGAGTGTTGGCAAAACCAGACTGAAAGTTTCTGGTGTGTACCGTGGAGCTGCTGCTGTGACAACTGCCTACAGAAGTTTCATTGTTAATAGTGTCATTGATGAAAGACGGGAGCTCGAGAGAGGGCCTTTAGAAGATGGGTGATTTACACGACATTTACAGGTGGCTGGAAACCAGCCAGTGGAAGAGAGATTGCTGATGTTGAGAACAGATGACTAGAAGGGTAAAGGTTAAAGGTCTGAGGAGGCAGGAAGAGGGGTGACATCATCCACCTGGGTGTGGAAGCCACTAAAGAAAATGGAAAAAGCTAGGGAAGGAGCCAGGGAGGCTGGCATGAATGGAGACTGTAGTAGAGCAGGAATCACAGTGGATGCCACCACACCCACCTCAAGTTTTCTGCATTTTGAAAAAAAATGTGTTTAGTACAGGGTCTCACTAATAGATTGGACTCATTGTGATCCTCTTGTTTACAATCTCCAAGCATTGGGATTACAGGCGCACACCACCTTGCCCATTATCAATCATTGTCTCTGCATGCCCCGGGGGCAGGGCTGGCATGGCAGGCCCAGGGATCGAAGCCCCAGTCCCTGCATCTGCAGGTTTTCTGAATTTTTAAATAGAAGTTTTTTATAAAATTTTCTCTGTATGAAATTTGCCTGTTGGTGATTTCTGTTTTTATGATTTAATTGTAAATGCTTGGACAATATCCTAGGGCAAACAGGAAGGAGAGAACATACATTTATTTGATTGGGTAGCTAAATGATATTTCTAAAGGATATATAGGGGACTAGTGACATCGTCTGCTATTAGGGAAGAAAGTGGGAAAAGGAGTAACAGGAAGGTCTCGAACTCTTACACCTTGTAATTTTTTTTTTTATTATTATTACCTTGTAAATTTGGAACCATGTGATTAATACCTGTTTTTGAATACCTTCAACAGTAGAAATGGAGAAAATACTCCGAAGCGTAGAAAAGGTAGCTCTAAAAGCAGTTTAAAGTAAGTGTAAAAGTGAACTATTACTTTTTTTTGGAGAGACAGACAGACAGACACAGAAAATGAGAGTCCTCTCTGCTTGATGTCTGAAGCTTCCAGCCTTGTCTTCTATTAGTTTTGTATGTATGAATTGATGACCTACTTTAGTTAAGCCTTTATTGTATAATTACCTTAAGAAGCATATAGGAGCTGTAGGTGTAACTCAGTGGTAGAGCATTTGCCTAGCATATGGATCTTACTAGTTTAGGGTGAAAAGGATTGAGTAATGGTTTTAGGAGAGAAGGAATTGAAAGAAAAGCATGTGTGTGACTTTAGCATCTATAGTTTTACTAGGTAGCTTATATAATTTGTTTTTTAAATTTTTTTTATTTATTTATGTGTGTGTGTGTGTGTGGCCAGCTCAGCCCACCAGGGGGTGGGGCTGGCTGGCATGTGGTGCTGGGGGATTGAACCGCGGTCCCTGTGCTTTGCTAAGCTTGTTCTAAGTAGGTGCTTTAGACCACTGAGCCATCTCTCCAGCCCCAGCTTATATAATTTGTTTAAGACCGTTTTGAGGACTTGGGACTTAGCTCATTGGAAGGAAAACCGAAACTCTCCAGGTTTTGATACTTTGTCTGTATTTCGCCCTACCCAACCATGATCTTGAGATTTGATTTTGTAACAAAACAGGAGGCCCAAATGATGCAATTGTTGGCCTTCAATATTGTATCAGTAACTGATCAGAGTGTGAGTGAGCCTGCCTTCTTTTTCTCTTTTAGTCTTTCTTTTCTTTGATGGAGGAGAAGGAGGTGGCAGGGGCTTCTGCTTATCTCACTGTAAAGCTGCTGAGCAAGCAATGTCACGTAGGTGCTCTCTTTGATTAATGTGACCTAGAGGGCCATTATATTCAGTGTTGTTTTTGTGGACCTTGCCCACTTCTGGTTTTAGGATTTTTTTTTTTTTTTTTTGAAAGGCTTGAGAGTAAGGCAATAAATGCAATGTGATTCAGATAGAGTGGTATTATGTGTTTGACGGGAAGCAAAATTAAAGTTACAGGTAAATACACTACCTATAGCAGAATATTCCTTTCTTCATTGGTACATTGACAAGCTAGGAACCTGTGAATATCAACCTACCAACTATATGGCTCATTGTCTCTTTGCAGGTTTTTTTTTTTTTTTTTTTTAGCAAGGATGTACAGGGCCTACAGAGTCTCGCTACGCAGATCGTCCTTCTAGTGATCCACCTGTGTTCAGCCTCCCAAGAGCTGGGATTACAGGTGTGTGCCACCACGCCCAGTCTCAGTTGCTGTCTCAGGGTGCCCCTGGGGCGGGGCTGCATGGCACACTGGGGATTGAACTCCGTCCTCTGTGTCTGCCTAAGCAAGCACTTTAATCTGGAGTACTATTTGGCCGGCCCTTCCTTGCACTTCTGATATGAATAATTTGTTATTCCAGTATGGTAGTCAAGTGTTCATGCATCCCACTCCATATTTTATAAATGATTCTGCAGCATGAATTGATTTGTTGTTGATTTAATGTTTTATAACATTTGAGCATTATGCTATCTGTGTTGATTTGTTGTTTTTTCTTTTTCAGAATGGACTGCTGAATTATGAAGTATTTCCGACCCAGTAGTAGAACATCACTCTGCCACTCACTCCTTTATCTCCTACTAGTTATTTAAATTGGACTTTTAATATCCTACCAGCTGCTCTTCAGACACACATGGTGCATTGTTACCATTCCCCGGATTGCATCTTTGAAACACAGGCTCTTAGTAACCTTCAGCAAACAAAGAGGCGGCCTCCCTGGAAGGGTTACCAGGAGGGAGTCATCCTGACTACCCTCTAGCTTTTGCTGGATCTGGATTTGAATTCTACCATGGAGCCTCGCATGGAGTCTTGCCTGGCTCAGGTGTTGCAAAAGGATGTGGGGAAACGACTGCAGGTCGGCCAAGAACTTATAGACTACTTCTCAGATAAACAGAAGTCTGCAGACCTTGAGCATGACCAGACCATGTTAGATAAGCTTGTGGATGGACTCGCTACCTCTTGGGTGAACTCTAGCAATTATAAGGTAAGCTGTGCTTTAGGCACTTTTGAAAGGTGGCTGTGCTGCCTTGCTGGGTCAAAATTGGCTCTTAAAAAGGGTCCTGTGTGAGCAGTCAACATGATTCCTTGGCTTTAATGAGATGCTTGTGGTTTTGGAGACTTTCTGAGTTTTCTGATTGGAAATAAAACAGTCCTTATCCCTAAGCCCTTTGAGTGAAGGCCAATGAAAAGATAGAGGTTTTATGTTGGAAGTGTACAAACACATTTGAATTTGAATCTATAGTGTGTCTTATAGTACATGGGTCATAAGATATTGGTGACTAACCCTTCATTAATAATGACAGTCCCCACTGATTTTATTTATTTTTTTTAAAGGAAGCACATTGACAAAAGGATGTAGAGCTTTGTACCTTCAGGTCACTGTTTTGAAGCCTGCTAGGTGACTGACTAGAAATGGTCTATGATGGGTGGATATGCTTGCCTGGCAAGCGCAAGGGTCTGAGTTCAATCCCCAGTTCCTCCAAAAATAAATAAATAAATAAATAAAAGCAAAAACAAAAAAACCCAAAACCTTCATCTGAGACCTGAGGGTGACATAGAGGCTCTCCTTCGGTTTAAAGGTAAACTTTCTTCCTGTGTCCTTGATGGGGAATGAAGGGGAAGATAGGGCGTGGGGGTGCCATGTAATGGCCCAAATGAGCCGCACAGGTTGGCCATTTTACCATTTGCTGTGATTTGATCTAAAATGTCTCCTCCAAGGCTCATGTGTCCAGAGGTGTGGTTCTTAAGAGGTGCTGGATGGATCACGGGCATACTGAACTCATCAATGGCTTAATTCACTGATGTGTCCATAGTTAAATGTACTATTAGAAGGTGGTACCTGGTTGAACAAGTTGCATCACTGGGGATGTGACTCAGAATGGTGTATTCTTATCTCTGGTCCCTTCCTTTTGCTCTGAGTCTTCTTCCCTTCTCTTTCCCTGCTTCCAAGCACCATGAGGTAAGGGGCTTTGCTGTGCTGTGCATTCCTGCCATGATGTTACTGCTTTGGAGAGTCTTTCACCACAGACTGAAATCTCTAAAATCATAAACCACGTAAGCCAATAAACCTCTTTTCTGTTAATTTGCAGGCATTAGGTATTTTGTTTCAGTAACAGGAAAGCCATGAACTATTCCAAAGACTTAGCATTATGAATGAAAGCTAGATGAATGTTGAAATGCTAATGAGTCTCTTCCTCTCTGTCCCCTCTCTGTTACCCTCCTCTCCCCAGCTCTTTTCATTTTGCTGAGAGAGTAGCTTCTGCAGATGGAGTTAGGTGGAAAGAAGAGTGGGAGGCCCTGTGAACACTGTAAGAGGGACTGACAGAAGTAGAATCTTTTGTGATTTTGAAGACTGAGTTCAGTCTTCTGAGATTGTTTTGGACTTTTTATTTTTTATTTTGTTTTTTTGAGACAAGGTCTCACTATGTAGTTCAGGCTCATCTTCTGTTGAACTCACTGTGTAACCCAGGCTGGCTTAGAACTCATGGTGATTTTCTTTTCTTAGCCTTCTGAGTGCTGGAATCACAGATGTGTATGACCTCAACTGGCAGTTTTGGATTTAGAATCCGGCACTTAGAGGATTTCTTCATTGCCTCTAGCATAGACTCTGTTTTCCAAATACATGAAACCTCAGTCTCATTTAAGAGCTATGAGGTTTTATTGTTGTTAAGGGTCCCTAGGACCTAGGGTCCTAATATTTTGCTTATAATTAGATTAAAAGTTTACCATATTTGTGTTTGAAAGCTGAGCTCCAATTCAATGAATCCAAAGATTTATTCAACTATGTATTCATTTTGTTGGAGTAGAGTACTTATGGGTGTGGTGTTGATGATCAATGTTGGGAGTGTAAGATGTCACAGAGAGTCCATTCATTACATTTTTGAGGGCTATGAAGTCACCTTTCCAGTGTTTAAGTCACAGCTTCACTATTTTTATGTGTGTATATTAAGATGCTTTTGGCTAAGAGTAACTGAAACCAGATTCAACTAACTTAAAATTACTGTAAAGAAGTTCAGTATCTCAGATAAATTGAGTAGTAGCTGAGGGAATTTTTAAGGAAGAAGAGTGTCTCATTGTGTCTTAAAAACTTGTATCTTCTGCTTGGGAGGAAATCTTTCTCAGAGCTTCCCAACAGTCCTTTTGTGCATCACTCTGGCCAGATGGCTGTGTGCCCACTGCAGCACCACTGGAGGATGGAATGAATGTCCATGATGGCTTTTTTTTTTTTTTTAATTTTATTTTTATTTGTGTGTGTGTGTGTGTGTGTGGCCAGCTCAGCCCACCAGGGGGCGGGGCTGGCTGGCTTGTGGTGCTGGGGGATTGAACCGCGGTCCCTGTGCTTTGCTAAGCTTGTTCTAAGTAGGTGCTTTAGACCACTGAGCCATCTCACCAGCCCCCATGATGGCTTTTGATTGTACCGCTTGACCTATTGGTCTTAAGAAGGAAGACAGCCTTCCCTGTGTGGGTGTTTGACCTGGTAAAGGATAGGTTTGGGAATAGAACTGAGGTAATATGGATGCTAATCAATAATCTGTACAGTCTGCCTCACTGTTGAGCTTTTCTGACATCTCCAGGCCTCAGTTTCCTCATGTGTAATGTTGGGATAATTAATTGAATTATTATGATGAAAAAGTAAGAAAATGGGTTTAAAGTTACCACAAATCAGCCACTTACTAAGTATTTACATATTAGTGTTGTTATCAACCTATGGCTCCTGCCTCAAGGAGCGCATGGTTAGTGGGGGTGGGGCTGCTAATGAGCAGATGGTTGCAGTACATACAGGTGTAGTGCATGCAGTAATGGGAATACGTGGCCTTCTGTGGGAAGGCAGAAGAAGGAGTGACACTGTCCAGAGGAACTCAGGGCCTTGAAGTTCGTGAAATATATATATATTTCTTTTTATATGTACATATCTATGTATATATATATTTCTTTTTTTGCAAAGTATCATTTATAAAGTCATAAAGGAATGAAAGATTCAGATTTATCCCTCTGAGATATAATTCTAAAGGAAAGACTTTAATGCCAAGTCAAGTCAGGCAGCATGCTTTGCTACCAGCTCATAACCACGGACAGTTCAGTTAGCCTGTTTGTACAGTGCAGAGTTAGATGAGGGTATGGTTTATGAGCTGTCAAGCTGTACATCTTCTATGACTTTATTATTTTTATTACTATTTTTAATGTATTTAGTATAGGATATACAGGGTCTCATTACACAGATTGGTCTTGTAGTGATTCTCCTGTTTGCAGCCTCCTAAGCGCTGGGATCACAGGCATGCACCACCCCGCACAGTCTCAGTGGCTGTCTCAGCATGTCCCAGGGGTGGGGCTGGCACGGCCCGGGATCAAACCCTGGTCCCTGAGCCTGCCTAAGCAGGCACTTTAATTCATTGAGCTATCTGGCTGGCCCCATCTTATATGACTTTAACGCAGATGGTTTTTCAGTCAAAAGGCTATATGTTGTGATTCTAATCTTACATGGTGCTGAGCAGGCTCATGTTTGTAAGCTTTCGCAGTCTGGAGAAAAGTACCTTGTTACAGCTGAAGTCCAGGACTTGGAGCATGGTGGATACTCCACAAATACTGGTTACATGAGTGATTTCAGGAACTTGGCAAGTATTACTGGTTGTTTTATTAAAATTGGAAGCTTATTTTAGGCTCCTCTTTTTCTTAATCATAGATTAAGATTTCTTATTCAGAATCTGAGGCACTTGTTAGGTGTTCTTTGACAGTTTTAAAATAGTATGAACAGAAGGTATTAGCTTTGTGCTAACCAAACTTTGGAGTTCAGCTTCTTGATTTTTTTATTAATTGATGAGAAACATGGAGTAATTTTGGCTTTATAAAACAATAGTGTTCTTGTTGTATTCTTTAGAAGGGAAATGAATGCTAGCCCATTGTCTTATACTTGACTAGAGCTTGAATAACTTTACATCTGAGTATTTCTTAATATGACAGACATATTTATAAGTTATATTACCTGTAGTTTATTAGCTGTCACCCATTGCTTACTTGCTGTGCTAGGCGTTTTATCTGTCTTACCTCATTTAGTCTGTGTAATACCCCTGCAGGGCAGATGGTGCTATCCTGATTTTATTCAAGAGGTAACCAACGTGCAGAAATATGTGGTAATTTCTGCTAGTGGTTACCGAACTGGTATTTCAATGTAGATCTCTCTGATTTCCTAGCCAGTGCTTGCTTCATAAGATCAGGGGTCAGCAGATTTTTTCTTAAAGGCAAAGTAGGTAAATATTTTAGGCTTGTGAGTCATATGATTTTCTTGCAAATAGTCAGCTTCCTTGGGTCATTGTGTCACAAAAGTAGCCACACATAATACGGAAGTGAATGGGTGAGGCTGTGTTCCAATAAAACTTTATTTGCAGAAACTTGGGCCCTGGACTAGAATATCACACACTTTCTCTATGTCATGGCAATAAACAATAGTGCTTCATCTGGAGGAAAAGGAATAAGGATTGTAATCTGCATGTAATTTGGGAATGGGGGGGACAATTTAGATTAGAGAGCACCTTGTTTTTATATCAAGAAAACTTACCTCCCTAAGTTCTGTCATTCAGACTCATTATGGTCATTTTGAATTCAGTTGGTCTGTTACTGATCACCTGTGTTGAGTTGGCCTTGGCCTTTCTTGCCTGGTATAAGCATTTGGAGGGTTGAGTAAATAGTAATTTAAACATTTGTTCACCCAGAACACCACCAGGGTCACACTGGTAATTGAAGGACTTGGGAAGCCTTCCTCATTGCAACACCTAAAGCTAACAAGTGCTTACTGTATGCCAGACGCTGCACCAGGAGATGGGCATACAGCGTACATGGTCCCTGGACTGACATCTTGTGACTGCTGCCAGGCTGTCTGGATCTGTCCAGTCTGCTCTGTGCCAACTTCATCCTAGTATACTTTTGTCTCTGCTCTCTTCCTTGTATTTGAAATTTGAGGTCTGTGGCTTCTCTGTCAGCCTGGAGCTT